CAGTGTCAGCCGTGGATCCAGGAGGACACCCAAGTTGCGTACCCGATCCGAGGGAGCCAGAGTTTCGCCCCCTATAGTCAGCGATGGAATCAGCTGACTATGCCGAGGCGCCGGTAACCACAGCCACTCGGTCTTGGACGGGTTGAGCCTGAGTCTGTTCCTCCCCATCCAGACCCTCACGGCCTCCAGACACCGGGTCTTATCTCTTTCTTGTCTTTAAAACAATTCCACCGATATTAGGGAAAGATTCCTGTAAAGGAATCTTGTCATTATGACCGCTAACACCTTTTATGTAGAGAACCACCCAGGATTCCATCATCTAGTGGTTGCTTCTTGTACTCTACCATCTACTCTTGTCAGTCTCTGTGTTGAGGAGATTTCTGAATGACGTGGTGTGAGGAAAAAAAGTGTGCTCGTGCTGCGTGGCTGTAATAGTTGTACCATTAAAGTAGCTGGTTGATCAGAACATCCGGTGCGTGGCACAGTTGCTTGCCTTGAAATTTGTGTTGATTCTTCCCCTTTTATTGAAATGGTTGTGATGTTATATGTGAAATGGGTGACCTTGCTAAAAAAAAAACAACAACAACAACCACCAAGGCAATTTTGGGGGCATTAATATTTCCAACCCAGATTGGGAGGGACCCTGAAAATGTGCAGAATCCTGCTGCCTAGAAGGGGACGAAAAATGGACTGTGCAGGTAGAAGAACAGACAAAAAAAAGCAAAACAGAGCAGAAAGACCTGCAGCAAGGTTAAGGGGGCAAATAGTGGGAAAGTAGTGTGTGATGTTTTGCCAAAAGGGCAACTATTTCATTTTCTCTCTTTGTTTCTTTTTCTCTCTTTTTGTGCCCCTTCTCCCCGGTTCTCTCCCCTATTTGATATCCTTTTCTTCCCTGTCCTCCCATTCCCCCCCCCCCGTTGGCTATTCTAGCTCTGCCTCAGGACAGACCTGGACACGCCAAAGGCAGGATACCTGGACGCCGGTGCTCACAACTGCCTAGAGAGACCTTCGTTGCTTGCCACGGGGCATTCTGATCCAGCGTCCCAACCCTCAGATACCAGCTTCCTGGGAAAGAGCGGGGAAACCCAGACTCTGCTCAGAAACTCTGACCAAGCTTTTCGGACAGAGTTTAACCTAATGTATGCCTTTTCCCCTTTGAACGCCATGCCCCGGGCCGATGGATTATTAAGAGAGTCTCCCCAGATGGCCGACGGGAAGCTTCTGAATCCGGATACGGGCAGCTGCAGTTCTCCTGCAGAGGGATACTTTGGCAGACACGAGCAGGCCATTCTTAAAGAGGCAGTGCATGGCTCAGTGGCCCATTGCGGTGAGAGAACTTGTGAAGGAGTCAAAGCTGCCCCCCAGAACCCTCCGCAGAGAAAAAAGGTGAGTGTGTGTGTGGGGGGGGGGAAATAAATAAGGGAAGGGGGAAAGGAGAGGGTAAAGCAGAAACGATCACTCCCTGAAGGAAGAGAGCAAGGAAAAGAGCATAATAGGGTGAACCGGGGGTTGTAAAAATACCTCACGGAAGATTCTGAAAGAAGAATGAGCACAGAAACATTCTGATAATAATAATAATAATAACAACAACAACAACAACAGTAGTAGTAGTAGTAGTAGTAGTAGTAGTAGTAGAGTTGGAAGGGACCTTGGAGGTCATCTAGTCCAACCCCCTGCTCAGGCAGGAAACTCTATACCAGTGGTTCTCAACCTGTGGGTCGGGACCCCATTTGGGGTCGATCGACCATTTCACGGGGGTCACCAAGCAAGGCTGTCCGCCATTTTTTCCCCCTTTTCCGGTGGGTGCCTTACCTCCCTTGAGCTGGGCCAGCTGGTGGTCGGCCTGCTCCGTCTCTGCCGCTTGCCAGCTACGCCTCGGCCGGCGCAGGGGGCGGAACCACACATGTGCGGCGCTCCCGGGCAGGGAAAGTCCTCGACTTACGACCGGTTGGGTAGTCCTCGACTTACGACCGGTTTAGTCCTCGACTTACGACCGGTTTAGTCCTCGACTTACAACCGGTTTAGTCCTCGACTTACGACCGGTTGGGGGTCACGGCATTAAAAAGGTTGAGAACCACTGCCCTATACCATTTCGGACAAATGGCTGTCCAGTCTCTTCTTAAAAGCCTCCAGTGTTGGAGCATGATAAAAACGGTAGCTGAGAAATTGATGAATAGCGTAGACAAATCATTAATTTCGGGAGAGATATTTGTAGGATGCACGTTGTTCATTTTCTGCTGTGCTTTTGCTTGTGGGCTTCCTGTCATCCTAGGACAGTGATGGCGAACCGTTTAGAGACCGAGTGCCCAAACTGCAACCCAAAACCCACTTACGCATCATCGGATGCTGGGTGGGTGTGGCCCATTGGCTGGGTGTGGCCCATTGGGTGGGCGTGGCTGCTGTGGTAACGGCAGACTGGGTGGGACTAAAAAGTTCAATCAATCAATTCCAACTTTGCAAGATCTTTTTTTCCCCCCGCGAGAAGTCGAAATTGATTGATTGAACCTTTTTTTTTTTGGCACACGTCGGCGGAGGCCTAAAGCGAAAAGGTTTTATAAAACCCAGCTGAAGGCCTAGGACTGGGGCAACGACGGGCGTGCCCACAGAGAGGGCTCTGAGTGCCACCTCTGGCACGCATGCCATAGGTTCGCCACCACTGTCCTAGGAAATGGGGTGGGGTTTTTTTTAAGTGAGCCTAATCTGAAATTTGAGTAAAGCTCAGTTGCTAGGCTCATTCCAAATCTAGTTCTATGGCATTTCTAGTGATTTGCAGTCAAAACAGTCACCGTAGCCTGATTTAACCTTAACTTACCCAAACGTGGCGTCCGCTAGACTGATAAGAGTTTTTCCCTCCTAGGTATCTCTGCTGGAGTACCGCAAACGAAAGCAAGAGGCCAAGGAGGGAGGGGATTCTGCCAGATGCACAGTGACAGCTAATCGACTAAGTAGCAGCAGCAGCAGCAGCAGCTCTGGGGCAGACGTGGACGTTGGTGCTGTGCCAGGCTCCGGGGGTCACACCCTCTCGTCTCCACAACATGGCTTCTCCCCCTCACACTCCTCCCTGACTCACCTGGAGGAAGTGAGCCCCCCAGAGCCGAGAGCAACTGGTCACTGCAAACCGCACGACAGCATCAGCAGTCGGTGGTAAGCGAGTGCTTGTTTTTACCCAGTCTTTAGAAGGAAACGCATGTAATTCACGCCCTCTATCTAAAAATCCCTCAGCACGATGCAGCAGGATAACCTTGCCCAGTGTGTAGCTGACGTTATTGGCCAAGTGATAATAATAATAATAATAATAATAATAATAATAATAATAATAATAATAATAATAATAATAATAATAATAATAATAGTAAAGTTGGAAGGGACCTTGAAGGTCATCTAGTCCAACCTCCTGCTCAGGCAGGAAACCCTATACCATTTCAGACAAATGGCTGTCCAGTCTCTTCTTAAAAACTTCCAGTGTTGGAACATTCACCGCTTCTGGAGGCAGGTTGTTCCAGTGGTTAATTGTTCTCACTGTCAGGAAGTTTCTCCTTAGTTCTAGGTTGCTTCTCTCCTTGATTAGTTTCCACCCGTTGCTTCTTGTCCTGCCTTCAGGCGCCTTGGAGAATAGCTTGACTCCCTCTTCTTTGTGGCAGCCCCTGAGATATTGGAACACTGCTATCATGTCCCCCCTCGTCCTTCTCTTCGTTAAACTAGACATACCCAATTCCAGCAGCCGTTCCTTCTATGCTTTAGCCTCCAGTCCCCTAATCATCTTTGTTGCTCTTCTCTGTACTCTTTCTAGAGTCTCAACATCTTTTTTACATCGTGGTGACCAAAACTGGATGCAGTATTCCAAGTGTGGCCTTACCAAGGCATTGTAAAGTGGTATTGCTATATTCTCTTAGTCTGAGGAAGAATCCCTCAATGCTAAGCTTTTCTTACAGGCAGCACAAGGGCAGATTGGCTTTCCAGTAGCCAATGCGTCATTCTTTGGAAATCCTACAGCAGGCATGCAACTAAAGGGGTTCCCGGCAAGAACCAGTCTTCCTGCTCCTCTTCCCTCACAAGAGGAGTTTATCTTATGGAACCAGAGTGACTTATTGAGCACAAATGGGTGGGTGTAAGTACTCTGTGCTGTGCCTGGGAACTGGCCTTTACAGCCTGTCTAAACCAGAAAACTACAAATAGCAGTGAAAGGGCTAGGCCAGTGATGGCGAACCTTTTAGAGACCGAGTGCCCAAAAACTGGCCCCGCCCCTGCTCTGCCCCCCCATCCCCTGCCCCGCCTGCCCACAGGACCACTCACCGCCTCCAGGGCCCGCTGCAGATTGCCCAGGCAGCCCAGCAGCGCTATGACGGCCACACCCTCTGCCCGCGCCCTGCAGTATGAACTGCATGATGGGGTGTGAGGGCAGAGTCTTGTCTACGCTGCCTGGCTGCCATGTCCTTGGCTGCGCTGCTCCGTGTGGGCCACGCTCGGGGGTGACCCTCCTTCAGGGGGTCTGCTGGAGAGGAGGGGGTCGTGGGGGGAGGCAAGGCTGGAGCAACGGCAGAGTGCCACCTCTGGCACATAGGTTCACCACCACTGGGCTGGGCAGAATATCTTCCCCCTTGTGATCTGCCTCTCTGAGGGCAAGCCTGGCTTGAGAGCTTGGTTCTGAGAATCAGTTACGAGGTACCCACATACCCATCGGGTTAAGCAACATTGTGCAAAGTGTAGAAAGGGAGTAATAAATAAGAAACTGAAGACCCTGGGCCACGACGGAAGGAAAATACAGCTATACACTTACTGATTGTAATTGGGACTGGCAATTCCATCACTTAAGTGACACAGTCGTAAAGTGAAAAGTCACGTGGCCGTGCCCAGCTTATGTCAGTTCCAGCTGCAGCCATTAAGCGAATCACCACGGGTCATAAAGCACAATGTCACATGACCAGAACGTGCAACTTTATGCCGGCTTCCGCATTGGCTCCCCCGGTTGAAAAGCCAGCTGTAAAAGTCACAAAATGGCGATCGTGTGGTCCCCACGGGATACTGTGACTGTGGTAAATGTGTACAGGTTGCCAAGCATCCAAATCACCAGTCAGGTGAACACAGGATTGCTGCAATGATTGCAGCTTCAACCACCGGTCATAAGTCTCCTTGTTGTCCGCTGTTGTGACTGAACGGTTGGTGATTTAATGATCAGTAAGTGAAGACCCCCTATATTTAGCTTTTGAGAAGAAGATGGGGGTGATTTTGAAACTGGAGGAAGAAATTGCACTATCCTGATAGCCAAAAAGAAAAAAAAAGAAGAAGAAAATCTGCAAACCCTAATACTGACAGTCAAAGAGCACAGAGAAAAAAATAGAAATAAAATTAAATATAAAAAAGACTAAATGACTAATGACAGGAGGTAGAATAGCCAGTCTTAAAGCTAACAATGAAGATCCAATCCAAGTGGTAGGATGCCTTCTGCCTTTTAGGCTCAACCACCAACAGTAAAAAGGAAGAAGCAGTAAAGGAGGAAGAATAACATTTGGTAGAGCAACAGTGAAGGCCTTGGAAAAGATACTCAAATGCCATGTTGCAATCTCTTTCTACAAAGATCAGAATTGCACAAGAACACTATATATTCCCTATATATTCTATATGGAAGCAAAAGTTGGACTTCAAAGAAGCGGGATAGGAAGGGTATTGACACCTTTGAAGACTCCAGGGGATACTGTGGACAACCAAGAAAACAAATTTATTATCGAACAAATCAACAGAGAGTTCTCAGCCAGACTCAATTATCCCACTTTGGGCACATTATGTAAAGACCCAACTCTCTGAAAAAAGTGGTGATTTATTTATTTATTGTTATCCTGCCTTTATTATTTCTATAAAAAACTCAAGGTGGCAAATACAATACTCCTTCCTACTATTTTTCCCACAACAACCCTGTGAGGTGTGTTGGGCTGGGAGAGTAGCCCAAAATCAACCAGCCAGCTTTCATACCTAAAGAGGGACTAGAGCTCATAATCTCCCAGAAATGCTGGGAAAGATAGAAGGAAAGGAAAGAAGGGGATAATCAGCAGGAAGATGGATGGATTCAGTTTACAGTAGCAATTAATGCACTTTTGCGATACTTGAAATTACAAGTTAGGGATGGATTGTCATGGAGGAAAATCTACATCAGGGGTAGGCAACCTTGGCTCTTTTATGACTCGTGGACTTCAACTCCCAGAATTCCTGAGCCAGCCATGCTGAGGGGAAAGGGAGAGGTTTCCAAGCTGAGCCATGCTGGCTCAGGAATTCTGGGAGTTGAAGTCCACGAGTCATAAAAGAGCCAAGGTTGACTACCCCTGATCTACATAGTTGCTAGGAATCAAAAACGACTTGATAGCACATAATTAATTTTGCTTCTCACCATACTTCACTGTACCTCTCCATGCCATTCTCTTCTTGCAAAGGCATCCTTGATTCCACCAAGCCCATATAGTGCTTCACACATTGCCTTTTGTTGTTTAAAAGTTTTGCCTCTCTTTTTTGGGGGAATCTCATCCATTTCATCCAATATGACTTTCTCAAGCTCCCCTTCCCTCCCTCCATTCTCCTGGAGTGCATTGGTTTTGAGGTCCCGTAGTCCACATTGCATTTTGCAGTAGGTCTAATATTTATTGCAAGTCATTTGGGTCTCTAGCCAACAACATGGCATCAACTGCATGTGAAAGTATGTATAGGGACCTGATCCCACACTAGAAAAGAATGTTTTCAATAAATAACATGACATTTATTGTGTTTACAAGCCTTAAAATTACCGTTTGTGCATTTATGTAAACCAAGTAACAGTTTATTTGCCCCAAAACTTGAAATTCCCATATTCACTCTTTTTTTTTTTCATGTTCTCCCTCTGTCTCGTGTTAAAGGATGGTGCCCACTTCTGTTGAGCGACTTCGAGAAGGACGTGGCATTTTGGAGAAGGTTTTACGTAGCAGTGCTAAAATATGTCCGCGAGGAGAACCCTCACCTTCTCGAGATAGCGTAGGAGAGAGAGAAGTAGGTAAGTGAGAGAATAATATATCAGAAAGGAACCCTGAGAATGAATCTTCTTGGAAAGCCGAAAAATACGTTAGGACTCTCCTTGTGGCATCATTCTTCTCTGTGGAGCCACTTCCCCATGAAATAGCCAACCCACTTGAAGCAGGCTGGTTTCTAAAGATACTACGCAGCTGTCTGTTAACAGTCATCTCTAGGTCTGAATTTTCTGCAAAAAAAGGGTGAAAAAGGGGAAGGCTTTTCTGGAAGATACGGTCTGCAAAATCATCTTTTGATTTGGCCCCAAAAATTTTTTCCCCCCCATTGTTATAAATATAAAGGAATCATAAGGACACCACATGGCCGACAAGAAGCAGCCACTTGTTCCCATACAGTAGCAGGTCACAGTCACAGATGTCCTACTTAAATAAAGAGCAGCCATCTTAGACATCCTAGTTATAAAAGATGGTTGAAAAAATCCTAATCAAATCAACGTTGGCATCATTTTGAAGGAAGGGTGTATTTTTCCCCCCATGTTCCACCCCGTAGTATGGTCATGGGAAGAGAAACTTAAAATGAGTTGCAGGGTAGAATTTATAAAGCAGTTTGTTTTCATTGCTGTGAACTCTAGAGCAGACATGTCAACCTTGTGACGTCGCGCAACGTATTGGGACAGTTTTGCCATTGCCGGCAATGGGGTGGGCACGGCTTCTGCGTGACGTGTCCGGCCCGCAGGCCGGCAGTTTGGCACCCCTGCTTTAGTTATTCCCTTTCTTTCTGTTGACATGACAGAGTGGGCCAAAGGAAGGACAATTAACTACGTTGTGGTGTGTCTTCCCATTCCTGTATCTCACTGTTCTCATGACATCCAAATATTCTCTAGTATACCTCTGCCTCCAATGCATTGCTCAGGCTTTAAGTTTCTTGAGGTTACATTTCTTCTCAGGAAGGCTTTCTCACCTTATTTCTATTAAAAAAAACATCGGATATTTGCTTTGATATTTTATTAATTTGTTTTTAATTTAGGCAGTCTTTCTTACTACAAATCTTTTCACTGCATTGTTATATATTTCTTTGCTGTAAATTGCCAAGAGTCTGAATGATTGCAGTGGCATGCAAGATGAGTGAATGTTCGTTCGTTCGTTTCTTTTGTTCATTCATTCATTCATTCATTCATTCTCTACAGATGCCTGTCTCAGGGAACTGGCTCTTGCCACTTAATTGCCTGATCCAGGAAAGAGTATGCCTTCTTTATCCTTATCTCTCTGGTTGGTTTTCTAGATGCTGTAGAAGGAGACGTATCAGAATCGCTCAGTTCTTCCTTCAAGGGCCCAGCGGTTTACAGTCCTTCTCGATACAGCTACCAGGTAGGAGAAGCAGTAGCAAGTTTGGGTATTAAGGTCTCTATCCATAGCAATTCATCAGTCCTCTAGGGTTTTCCACAAGGTACCCGGCCTTTCCCGATCTTTTAAATGCATTTTAAATCCCCTTCTTTTAGAAAATACCAATACAGGTAGTCCTCGGCTTACAACAGTTCATTTAGTGACCACTCAAAGTTACAACGGCACAGAAAAAAGGGGACCTACGACCCTTTCCCACAGTTACAGCCTTTGCAGCATCCCCAGGGTCACGTGATCAAAATTCAGATGCTTGGCAACAGGTTCACTCACGTCCGTTGCCGTATCCCCAAGGTCACGTGATCCCCTTTTGCAACCTTCTGAGAAGCAAAGTCCACGGGGAAGCCAGATTCACTTAGCAACCGGGTTACTAAGTTATCAACTGCAGTGGTTCCCTTAGCCCAGTGGTGGCGAACCTATGGCAGGCGTGCCAGAGGCGGCACTCAGAGCCCTCTCTGTGGGCACGCGCGCCGTCGCCCCAGCCCCGCCTCCAACGGCCCCCTCCTCACCAGCAGCCCCCCCGGAGGAGAGTCGTCCCCGGTTGTGGCCCATGCAGAGAAGCGCAGCCAAGGACATGGTAGCCGGGCAGCAGGTACAAGACTCCGCCCCCGCAGCATCATCTGCTGTGTGGCCGCCATGGTGCTGCAGGGCTGCCTGGGCGATCTGCCGCGGCAGGCCATGGAGGTGGTAAGTGGCCCTGCGGGGGGGGGCAGGGTGGGCGGGGCAGGAGGTGGGGTGGAGTAGGCGGGGCAGGGCAGGGCAGAGTGGGCAGGGCAGGGGGCGGAGTGGTTTTGGGCACTCGGTGTCTAAAAGGTTCACCATCACTGCCTTAGCCACTGTGGCAAGAAAAGTCATAAAATAGAGCAAAACTCACTGAAGAACAGAAACGTTGGGCTCAATTGTGGTTATAAGTAGAGGACTGCCTGTAACAAATGGCTCTTTGGAAACACCCCCCATATTGAGAACTAGCATGTAAATGGGAGGTTGGGGGACGCATCCTGGGGAGCCAGAGGAGGATGGTGGGCGACAGCTTTACCCGTTTCCTTTCTGCTCCAAAGAACGTTTGGTGACTGTCCCATCTCCACCTATTGCAGCCATTTTGTAGGCGCCTCCAGGTCACGATGCTGGATTCCAGGCCTACGTTCTGGTTCAAAAGGTTTGGAGTTTCCTGATCCAGACTTTCTTAAGAGGCTTGTGGAGGTGGGCAAGCTACAGCTGAATATAATATTATTGCGTTTTTGGTTGTCTTTCCTCCCAGCTCTTGCAGTCTGACAGTCCACGTACAGAATCTCAGACTCTTCTTCAGAGCTCCTCACCGTACCGAGGACATCCTGTTCCATCCCCTGGATACAGCTACCGGCCTCAGTCCCAGAGAACCGGACACCTTCCCTCCCTCAGCTCTTCGGAATCCTCCATGTCCTCCACCCCGTCGGGCTCCACGGACTCTACGGCTCCGTTTGCAGGGACCTCTGGGTATTATAGCAACCAGCACCATTCTGGCAGCGGAGTCTTGAAGAAGAACTGTCCCACAACCGCTGCTCCTAGTCCTGCCCATTCGACAGTTGCAGACTGTTTGCCGTCCTCTGAATCAGGGTCGCATCCCTGCATGGGAACTGCCGCCAGCTGCACTTCTTCCTCTAGGCCCCCTCAGTCGGACTTACGGACTATCAACCCTCCCGCTTCCGGGCAACCCGCTCTCTACCAGAGCTCCAAAGCCGCCGCCGCCACCGCCGCCACCACAGCACTTTCCAACTCGCAGCACTACCCCCACCGAGGAGGGGGAGGAAGCAGCATTCACCCGTACAGACTGCAGCAGCTTCCAGGGTCAGGCGTAAAGACTCAGACAGGCCTTTCGTAGGGCAGGACTGAATTGCCTACTGTTCCTTCCAGCGGTAGCTTGAAAGGAAGGATGCTGGAACGGCGAAGGGCCAGAGGCCGAGGCTTCGGGATGTACAAGCGAGCGAAAGCACTGCCAGCCACCCCCTGGCTCTGAAAACGAGGAGAAAGTGGCGGCGGCGGAAGTGGTGGTGGCGGCGGTGGTGGCAGAGCCTGTAGCAAAGCATCGCCACGAGGCCTGGGTACGTTGTAGAGAAAGCAAATGGGTGCTGAGTGGCATGGCCTCTGTCTCCTGCCTGTGCCCTTAGCTTGTAGTCACCTGGGCAGGTAGGTAAGCTTGAATAAAAAATCGTGCAAATCAGAACATTAGGGAAGGGCAATGGGGGTGGGTGGGCGGGGCTATTCCTTTAAAAAAAAAAATCCCAAAGTGCTCTCTGCAGAGTTGGGTTCCCAGAACATTCTGGGTTGGGGAGGGTGGGTGGTGTAGTCCATTCTGATCATTCCAGTTGTAAGCAAGAGCATTTATTGTGTCCAGGCTCTGGGCAGAGACTCATGGGATAGGGCTGGTGGTAGTGTGTGTACGTACGTACGTATGTCTGTATGTATGTCTGTGTGCGTCCGCTCAAGTATGAGTCCGTGTGTGTGTGTGAGAGAGAAGACAGGATGCGCAAGTGAATATTGCTGCAATGACAACATCACTCACAGAACCAAGTCTTGGGCAAGCTGCACTTCGCGATGGAGTGTCGTCAGACGATGGTGGCTTGTCGCAGGGAACAGCTTTGTATGATATAAGTTGTTGTGTAGTCTGATCGTGTAGTCGGTGGATGATGGTGAGAGAAGCGCCCCCGTCTGGGTCGTGACACGGCTGCCCTTGTCAGGCGTGTCCTTGCGTGTGTGTGCGTGCGCGCGCATGCGTGAGGCTCCTGCTACCACCTCTTTTGAGGTCCAACAGCACTTCCAGCCCCACTGGTTTGCGCTGTCCGATTCCATACAGTTGCCAGCTTTTCTCACTTGTTTACTCTTCAAGCGTGTGTTTTTATTTATCTTAATTTTATATTCAGTTATAACCATAGTAGGTTAGCAAATGCCAGGCAGGTCTAACCCAAAGTGCTGCCACGGACCTTTTTCCTTCCCTCTTCGACAAGACGATGCCGTGAGCACGTCTTCCCTTCCTTTCTCAGAAGCAAAAAATTTATTTTGTTTTTGTTTTGTTTTTGTTTTTTTTTTCATTTGCGTTTTTAATTAGGGCTGTTACAGGTTTCTCTAACTCATTGAAATCAGGTGTTCTTCATTCAATTTAGAGGAGACTTTTAAAAAAAATAAATAAATATCAGAAGTGGAAAAGAAGAAACACAAGCAAATCTTTCCTCAAAAGTATCTGGCTGTGAGCGTGTTGGGGGAATGGAACTTGTCACCCAGAAAGCGGGTGTCCTATATACTGTATAAAAAGGGTGTCAGCTTCACCGGGGCCTTTGCAGCCTCCCTTTCCGCCATCGTGTCGAGCTTGCTCTTTCCGTTGCCAGGATCCGTCTGGAGAAAAAGCAGGCAGAGACGAAGCCCTGTTCAGGATGCTGGGAAAGGAGAGGAGTCAACCGGGAAGTCGGGAGGGCGGGGGCTGCAGTGCTACCCTCAAGTGGAGTTGTACACTGTGCTGTAATATTTGAACTTTCACAAGAGATGTAATAATTTTGATAATAAAATACTTAACTTGAAAAATCACTCAGTATGCTCTTTTTATTGGCTGGGGAGGTGGAACAGAATAACGGAAGGGACCTTGGAGGTCTTCTAGTCCAACCCCCTGCTCAGGTAGGAAACCCTATACCGCTTCAGACAAATGGTTGTCCAGTCTCTTCTTAAAAACGTGCCGGAGCACCCAGAACTTCTAGTGGCAGGTTGTTCCACTGGTTAATTGTTCTAACTGTCAGGAAATTTCTCCTTAGTTCTAGGTCAGTGATGGCGAACCTTTGAGAGACTGAGTGCCCAAACTGCAACCCAAAACCCACTTATGCATTGTCGGGTGCCGGGTGGGTGTGGCCATTGGGTGGGTGGGGCCCATTGAGTGGGCGTGGCTGCGGTGGTAACAGCAGACGGTGGGACTAAAAAGTTCAATCAATCAATTCCAACTTTGCAAGATCTTTTTTTTTCCCCCGAGAAGTTGAAATTGACTGATTGATTGAACCTTTTTTTTTTGTACACGGCAGCGGAGGCCTAAAGCAAAAAGGTTTTATAAAACCCAGCTGAATGCCTAGGACTGGGGCGGCGCCGCGCGTGCCCACAGAGAGGGCTCTGAGTGCCGCCTCTGGCACCCGTGCCATAGGTTCGCCACCACTGTTCTAGGTTGCTTCTTTCCTTGATTAGTCTCCATCCGTTGCTTCTTGTCCTGCCTTCAGTTGCTTTACTGAATAGGTGCAATTTTACGGGTTCGTTAAAAACAGATTATGCCAAGCCAATTTTATTTCATTCTTTGACAAAGTGACTAAATTAGTGGACACAACCTACTCCTTGATAAGCTAGGAAAAGATGGAGTAGACAACATCACTACCAGATGGATTCGTAGTTGGCTGACAAACCGTACTCAACGAGCACTCCTCAATGGTACTATACCCACATGGAGAAAAGTAAGCAGTGGGGTACCACAAGGTTCTATATTAGGCCCAGTACTCTTCAATATCTTCCTAAGTGACTTAGATAAGGGAACAGAAGGGGAAACCATCAAATTTGCAGATGACACTAAACTGGCAGGAATAGCCAACACCCCAGAAGACAAGCTCAGGGTCCAAAAAGATCTTTACAAACATGAACAATGGGCCCTATCCAACAAAATGAATTCTACTGTGGAGAAAAGCACAGTATTTTCCCTTTAGGCAAGAAAAATTAAATGTATAAATACAGATTAGATGAGACCTAGCTCAAAAACGGTAACTGTGAGAGGGACCTTGGAGTCCTAGTGGATGATCACTTGAATATGAGCCAGCAGTGTGTAGCAACAGCCAAAAAAGGTAATACAATCGGGTTTTATAAACAGGCATAGAATCAAGATCACGTGAGGTATTCGTACCGCTTTATAAAACCCTAGTAAGACCACACCTGGAATACTGCAATCAATTTTGGTCACCATACTACAAAAAAGATGTTGAGACTTTGGAAAAAGTTCAGAGAAGAGCAACTAAGACGATCAAAGGCCTGGAGACTAAAACATATAAGGAACAGTTGCTGGAATTGGGTATGTCTACTTTAATGAAGAGAAAGACATGATAGCAGTGTTCCAGTATTTGAGGGACTGCCACCAAGAAGAGGAGGTCAAATTATTCTCCAAAGCACCAGAGGGCAGGACAAGAAACAATGGTTGGAAACTGACCAAAGAGAGAAGCAACCTGGAATTAAGGGAGAAACTTCTTAACAGTGAGGACAATTAATCACAGCTTGCCTTCAGAAATCGTGGGCGCCCCATCACTGGAGAATTTTAAGAAGAAACTAGACAAGTCACTTGTTTGAAATGGTATAGGATCTGTTTGCGCAGGGGACTGGACTAGAAGACCTCCAAGGTCCCTTCCAGCTCTATTCTATTCTAAATACATCAAAGGAAAAGGACATAAAAAGTTACAAGATGCAACACAGTAGTGTGAGATCCAGGATTTCAGACCTTATGGGAGGGTGATGATGTTAAACCATTCAGTCATGTCCGACTCTAGGAGATTCCGTGGTGTCTCTCCACATGTTCCAATCTGGCACTGATCTAAGTTTTTATATGCTCAGCTGGTGTCAACTTTGACATTGTGGGAGGCTGACTTCTTAAAATGAGGATTGTTTATTCAAGACTCTGAAACTCAGTGGAAGAGTCTTGTAAAAGATCCTGCTAGAACTGGGTAGCATTTTTTTTACACTTCTTGCCATATACGTATACACAGACAGACACACATACACACACCCCTTTGGAATCATAATAAAGATAATAGGTAATCCTGGACTTAAGACCACAATTGAGGCCAAAATGTATGTTGCTAAGCGACAGATTTATTAAATGAAATGCCCTATTTTGCAACCTTGCCACAATTGTTAAGTGAATCTGGCAGTTTTATCACATTTATTTGGAACAGTTTCACTTGTTTGGATTATTAAGATTAAACCAGGGATTACAAATCTGTGTATCTACACATTATGATATTTGGTGATATAGTTTGTAAGTTGCTAGAGGGTTCCTGGGAAATGACGTAGTTTATTCCCCAAATTAACTGCATGTATTGTACCTCATATAAAACTGCATTGATGATAAAACTCATTATTTAGCCTTCAATTTTATATATACTTACCCAAGAGTAAACCTTATTAAACACAACAAGGCTGACTTTTGGATAATCTTGGCTAGATTTAGTCAATTTAAAGCCTTTGTGGCATTATAAATGAGAAGAACGGACTTTTAATAAATATTAGCAGGGACCTTACTGTGGACTTTAAATGGAGACACCCAAGGTCCAAACCTCAAACTTTCTAGTGCAAAGTTCTAGTTTTCTAGTTGCTCTTGAGACTAAGGATTGCTTGTAATTGAGCTTATTTCACTGGATATCCATTTGGGGACTGCTGTAATTAAATGAAAGATGATTATACATTTTTCCACCCTTGGCAACAGCTACCGTGTTTTCCCGAAAATAAGCCCTAGCCTAGCTTGAATTTGGGGGGTTGGGCCTAATATAAGCCCTACCCCAAAAATAGGCTCTAGTTTTGGAGCGAGGCACATACCTAAAAATCAAGCTAGGGCAGGGATGGAGCTTACCGTTACAGCCAGGCCTCCCATGGATTGACACTTGCCTGGCTTGCCCACTTCTGAGGCCAAAGGAGCAGCTTCATTCTGCAGCTGAGAATGGAGCTCGGCCTCCATTTTGCAGTCAGGGGCCTTTCAATCCGTAGCTCGGTTCTCGGCTGCACAGGACTTCCAGAAAGGCCTCTGACGGCAAAATGCAGGCCAGAACTCCATTCTCAGCTGCAGAGTGAAGCTGCTCCTTCAGCCGCAGAAGAAGTGGGCCG